CCTTCCTTCCTTCCTTCCTTCCTTCCTTCCTTCCTTCCTTCCTTCCTCCTTCCTTCCTTCCTTCCTCCTTCCTTCCTTCCTTCCTTCCTTCCTTCCTTCCTTCCTTTCCTCCCCCCTCTTTCTTTCTTTCTTTCTTTCTTTCTTTCTTTCTTTCTTTCTTTCTTTCTTTCTTTCTTTCTTTCCTTTCCTTTCCTTTCCTTTCCTTTCCTTTCCTTTCCTTCCTTCCCTCCCTCCCTCCCTCCTTCCTTCTTTCCTTCCTTCCTCCTTCGTTTCTTCCTTCCTTCCCTCTTTCTTTCTTTCTTTCTTTCTTTCTTTCTTTCTTTCTTTCTTTCTTTCTTTCTTTCTTTCTTTCTTTCTTTCTTCTTTCTTTCTTTCCTTCCTTCCTTCCGTCCTTCCATCCTTCCGTCCATCCTTCCTTCCCCTCCCTTCTCTCTCTCTCTCTCTCTCTCCTTTCTCTTCCTCCCTCCCTCCCCTTTTTCACGGCTTCTCTTCCTTCCACAGGATGTTTCAGACCTTGTACAACTACTTCTGGTGGGATCGGCTTTGGTTGCCAGCCAACCTGACCTGGGATGACCTCCAGGGCCACGATGACCAAGTCTACAGCAAAGCTGCTCACCTCTACTATACTATTCCTCTGGGCTTCCTCTTCCTCATCATTAGGCACGTTTTTGAAATGTGAGTATCCCCGGAGCAGAGAGGAGGAAAAATGGCGTCTTCCTTTTCCTTCCTTCCTTCCTTCCTTCCTTCCTTCCTTCCTTCCTAACAACAAAGGCAGGTAACGTAAGGCAAGACTTGCTTTGATGGAAAAAAAGAAAGGAAGGAAGAAGAGAGAAGAAGAAAGAAAGGAAGAGAGAGAGAGAGAATGGGGAAAGAAAGGCAGAAAGAAAAAGAAATAGGGAGGGAGGGAGGAAGGAAGAGAGGAAAGAAAGAATAAATGAATGAATTCTGGGAAATCCAGACATGCCGGCTAGGGAATTCTGGGAGTTGAAGTCCAGGCATTTTAAAATGGCTAAAGTTGAGAAACACGGACTTATTTTAACCCAGCGCCTGGGAAGGATTGCAATCTTACAGACAAAGGAGGAAAGAAATTTCTCTTTTCAAAGTCCTGTGAGAAAAAGCCACTTTTGTCTTCCCTACCCTCCTCACACCGCTAGGCCATTTCTCCTGAAATTTGGTTTAACCTTCCTTTTCTACAGCTCCGATCTGTCAGGTCGAATCCCGTCTTCCGGCGGGGAACATTGTCCGTTTGCAGAAGGACCAATCAATTATTATTATTTTTTAACGAAGATAACATTCCAGGAAGGGATTGGCTAACTTGAATAAATAAAAAATCTGATTCTTCACATACCTCCAGATCTCTCTCTCTCTCTCTCTCTCCCTCCCTCCCTCCTTTCTTCCACCTTACAGATTTGTTGTTGTGAGGAAAATAGGAGAAGGGAGCAACATTTTTGTTTGGGGCTTAAAATAAATATGGAATAAAGATTAAATCGACCGGAGAATTAAACAGCCAAGGAGAAAATCAACCAGTGGAGAGTTTGGATGGAATTTTAAGAACCCCATTTTGTTGTTGTTATTATTTATTTCGGGGAGGGGAAAGCGGAGCCCTTTTCTGAGGGGGGGGGCGCGGGAGGCAAACACGACCACATTCCTGGCCACAAACGGGCAGCTCTTTGCAAAGAGTCCTTGGCAAGAAATAATCGGAAGCGTTTAGACTTGAAAAACTGGGGCTGGAGGAGCTGGGCCTGACTCTGCCCCCCCCCCCCCCCCCCCCCCCCCGAGGTTGAGGCTGCGGGGGGCCTGGGACAGCTCTGCGGGCAGTGCCCCCCCCCCCCGGGACTGCCAAGGCCCAAGAGCTCGGAGGGGCCGGCGAGAAGCGAGGAAGGCTGGCATCGGGGCGGCTTTTGTGCCCTGCCTGGTTGGGGGATACAGGAATTTGGGCTGTGCCAGCCGGGATGAGGAAGGGAGGGGCCTGGCAAGGCTCCAGGTGCAAAGGCTCTGGGGGGGGGAGGCCTTGGTTCCCCCCCCCCCCCCAAATCTTCCTCTGAGGATGAGAAACAAGCTTTCAGGGAAAGCAGTCAGTGGGAGGAGGCAGGCAAGGCTGGGCTTCCTTCCTTCCTTCCTTCCGTCTCTCCTGCCCCCTACAAATTTTCAATGTGATTAAAACTGAATTTTCCTTCCTTCCTTCCTTCCCTTCTGCTTCTTTCCTTCCTTCCTCCCTCCCTCCCTCCCTTCCTTCCTTCCTTCCTTCCTTCCTTCCTTCCTTCCTTCCTTCCTTCCTCCCTCCCTCCCTCCCTCCCTCCCTCCCTCCCCCTCCCCCTCTTCTTTTTCCCCTCCCTCCCTCTCTCCCTCTTTTCTTTCCTTCCTTCCTTCCTTCCATTTTTTTTCACTCCTTTCTCTTTTCTCCCGCAGCTACATCGCCACGCCACTGGCCAGGCTTTTGAACGTCAAAGAGAAAAGCCGATTAAAAGCCAGCCCCAATCCAGTGCTAGAGAAATTTTATTCCACTTCCTGCAAACATCCCAAACAGGTAACGTGGCCAAGGTGCCCTTGGCAGGGAAACGCTCCTGAATTCGAATCTGCCAGCTGCAGAAACGGAGCTGAAACGGGGGGGGGGGGGGAGAAAAGCAGCGGCTTCCGGGGGGGGGGGGGGGGGGGGGGGGGAGAGGAGGGGGGGCGGGGGGGGGGGGGGGGGGGGGGGGGGGTGAAGGGGAAGTGGCCAAAATTGTCCTCGGCCTGCACAGCCTCCCACACAACCTTCTTCCTCCCCGCAGGCGGCTATTGAGGCGCTGTCCAAAAAAAGCGGCTGCACCCCACGGCAGGTGGAGCGCTGGTTCCGGCGGAGACGAAACCAGGACAGGCCCAGTTTGCTCAAGAAATTCCGGGAGGCCAGGTAGACCCTTCGCCCCGGATGAGACCCCCACCCCTAGAGGCCAGGCAGACAGGCGCTCTGCACATGGCCTGGAGCAGTCTTGATGCGCTTGGTGCAAAGATTTCTTTTTAAATCTGCTCAGAGAAAAAACAACAACGCATCACCACAAAACCCACAACCCCACTTTGTGTGCTTCCTTGTTTTTCCAGTTGGAGATTCACGTTTTACCTTGTTGCTTTCATCGCTGGCATGACGGTGATAGTTGATGTGAGTAGAGAGCCTTCCTGTCGGAAAGACTTAAAACTTCTTTTTTTAACGTGTTACTCTCGGCAATTTCCTGGCCTTTTCTTTCTAATGGGCTTGTCTAGCTCTCTCTCTTTTGTGTGTCTTTGTGTGTGTGTTGCAGAAACCGTGGTTTTACAACCTCCGAGAAGTGTGGGAAGGCTACCCCATGCAGGTGAGGACAGTTTTCGGAGGGAATTTCTTCTTCCAAACACCTTGCATGGATTTTTAAAAACAAATGCACAAACCCCAATCGGTGAAATCGGCATTGCAAACAAAGTGAAAGGCCGCTAAAGTCGTCTTCTGATATTTGGTGCCTTGTCAAATCTAGAGAATTTGGCCAAAAGGGACTTTTGTTATCATGCACATATTATTCTGGGCTATTTTTTTGTTTGCCCATCCTGTTTTCTTGAACTTATAAGGAAGAAGAAAACGGATGTCTTTCTGGCAGATGCAAGAAATATAAATAATAAATAAAAATATAAATGTAGGTGGTTCGTGACTTACGACAGTTTATTTAGTAACCGTCCAAAGTTACAACGGCACTGAAAAAAAGGGACTCAGGACCATTTTTTCGCACTTATGACCATTGTGGCATGTGATCAAGATTCAGACTCTTGGCCACTGACTCGTATTTACGACAGTTGCAGCATCCGGGGGGGGGGGTGTCATGTGATTCCCCTTTTGCGACCTTCTTGACAAGCAAAGTCCCCAGGGAAGCCAGATACTCCCCTTAACAACCGTCTGACTCATTTAACAACTGCAATGATTCACTTAGTAACTCAGGCAAGAAAAGCTCTTAAAATGGGGCAAAACTCACTCAACTAACGTTACACTTAGCAACATAAAATTCCGGACTCAGGGATGGACGTAGGCCGAGAACTTCCGGCACGCATGCAATTCCCAGCTTGATTGGGGGCGGTGGCTTGTAAATACAGTTTCTGGTTGGGCTCACTGTTTTAATCTGGCTCTTCTCCCGCAGCCCTTGCTACCTTCCCAGTACTGGTATTACATCATCGAGTTGTCCTTTTACTGGTCGCTCTTGTTCCGCATCGCCTCGGACGTGAAACGGAAGGTGAACTGGCCGGGGGGAGGAGAGGGGAACCTTGGGGGGGGGCGGGGAAACAGGGCAGGTTGGGATCCTGGGTTCGGGCTGCGCCCAGCTGATGCCTCCTGAGCAGAAGAAACGCTTTCCTAGAGAGGCTTCCGACTGGGAAGGACGAGGGGGTTTCCTCTCGCTCCCCCAAGTTCTTCTCTCCAGCCCTCCAGCCAGGTTTTTTTGGGGTGGGGGGCGTCTCCCCTTCCGCCTCCATCTCTCCCTTTCCTTTTTGGGGACAGGATTTCAAGGAGCAAGTGATCCATCACGTCGCCACCATCATCTTGCTGTGTTTCTCCTGGTTCACCAATTATATCCGGGCAGGGACCCTCATCATAGCTCTGCACGATGCCTCCGACTACCTGCTGGAGGTGAGAAGCTTAAGCCAGGCGATCTGGGGTCACCCATCTTGGCTCCCTGTGGCATCAAATCACCTCCTTTTCCTCCTCCTCTCCTTCCTTCCTCTTCAAATCTCCTTCCTTCTCTCTCATCTTTCTCTTTCTCCTTCCCTCCTTTCCTTTCCTGCTTCCTCTTCCCATCTCCTTCCTCCCTCCCTTTCTTTTCAAATCTCCTTCATTCCTTCTCTTATCTTTTTCTTCCTCCCTCTTGCAATTCCTTTCCTTTCCTTTCCTTTCCTTTCCTTTCCTTTCCTTTCCTTTCCTTTCCTTTCCTTTCCTTCCCTTCCCTTTCCTTCCCTTTCCTTTCCTTCCCTTCCTTCCCCTTCGCCCCCCTTCTATCTCTTTGTTTAAAATAGGCATAGAATTTCATTCGCAGCTAACTCTCTTTTGCGTGAAAGAAAGTAAAAGCAGTGATGTGTCAATATTCCCCTTCTTATGCTTTGCAGTCTGCCAAGATGTTCAACTATGCTGGCTGGAAGAACACCTGTAACAATATTTTCATCGTATTTGCAGTCGTCTTCATTATCACTCGCTTAATCATTCTTCCTTTCTGGTGAGATTTTCACGGGATTCTTGGAAACAAAACAAAAAAAACAAAATGGCACCGATAAAAAATAAATCAAGGAAATTTCACAGAGAAGGCCTGGAAGTGAAAATGTGACACAGAAAACTGAATCTTTTCCCAGATTTTTATTTCTGGCAAAATAGTATCCATTTCGGAATTGAGTTTCTCTGTAAATGTGTTCCTTGATTTTATCCTGTTTGGAAATGTTTCATCTGTTGAGATAGACTAATAAATAGCATGTCCTTTTTCCTGTTAATTCAAGTCTTATTAAAAATTACAGAGGAGAAAAAAACTAAGCAACGCGCCGTTGGGCAGTACAGTTTACAAATTGCATTAATTCACAAACAAGCAAACCCCAGTTTGGGCCTTCAGCCACATATGAACCTCATCCTACTTTAAAAAATTTAATTCTCCCTTTGAAAGTGGCCCGGCCGTTTATCAAACCTTGCCTTTGTGGAAGTTTGGAAAGATTTCTTCCTTAAAACTCTTTGCAGAGAGAGAGAGAGGGAAGATGCTTTAAAATATTAACATTTTAATACTTTGAAATATTAATCCTTTCTTTGGTTCCCCCCTTAGGATTCTGCACTGCACCATGATCTATCCTTTAGAGGTTTATCCTCCTTTTTTCGGCTACTACTTTTTCAACAGCATGATGGTGGTCCTTCAGTGCCTCCACATATTTTGGGCCTACTTGATCATTCGCATGGCTCAGAAATTCATAACTGGAAAGGTAAGAAGGAAGCTTCTTAAATTTACTTTACACTGCGCAAAGCTTGGAGGCGGAAGAGGGGAAGTTGGCACGGAGGGGTTTATTTTGGCGTTAAAAAAAGGGAACCACAAACGTCTTCAGCGCCGCTGGAGCCTCGCTCTCGAATCAACACCTGCTTTTGCTGACATGAGAAGTTTGATTTGTGTCCTCGGCAAAGCAATCGATTTGGTCATAGTGTATATTTCATTCTTGGAATGAGGTTGGTTGGCAAGCTTAAAAAATGACTCTTTCGGGTTTCTCTTCTTTTATAAAAGAACATCGAACTCTTTATTTATTTAAAATAAAAAACCAGCAGGCCACCTCAGCTTTTGAGGAGAGCGGCATCCTCTACGGTGGCCCCCGGTCAGAAAACACCTTTGGTGACCATCAAACGTTATTCAAGGCCTCGCAAGAGGCAGGAATATGTCATTTCTCAAGGAATGAATGCTGGTCTTTTTCACCCATTCCCAACATCCATTTTAAAACAGCACAAAACTCCCCAAATCCACAATTGCATCAAACTCCTTTCCCCAAGATAAGCACCAGATCAACGGCCCGGCAGGAAAACAGCGGCAGAAAACCAGTCAGCCGTCATTACAAAAAAGTCCGGGCGAACCGTTTTTGGCAGAAGGACGGGTGTCCTTTTAAGTCCTGGGCTGGTATCAATCGGGCCGTTTCCCAGGTGCTTAGAAGGCCGTGTGGACAAGAGAACCAGGGGGACGCCCCCCCCCCCCCAAAATGGCTCCCAATGGCCAACGGCTCCCTCTCCGTCTTTCCCCCCTGCAGATCCTGGAGGACGAGCGAAGCGATCGGGATGAAACGGATTACTCTGAGAAGGAGGAAGAAGAAAAGGCTGCGGCGGGCACCGTGCCCCTTGCTGGAACTAAGAACGGGCCCCTCACCAACGGGCACCCTGTCTTGAACAATAACCACCGGAAAGTAGAATAATTCCCCACTGGCTCTGTTCCCCCCCCCCCCCCCCCCGTGCCCGTCTCTCTCTCTCTCTCTCTCTCTCTCTCTCTCTCTCTTTCTGGCCCCAACTCATCCCGAGTCCGTTGCGTGATGCGTCACTAAAGCCTGGAGGGTGTTTCGTTTTGTGGCCAAGCCCAAAATCAGAGGAAAGACGGTTTACCGGCACGAGGTTTCTCTGCCTACGATTATCCAGAATGGTTCGCCCCGGTTTCCTCCCGCCCCCCCCCATCACTTTTGGGGAGGGGGGTGCCGTGCTCCTAGTCATCTGGCTCGGAGAAGGCGTCGTTCCCCCACGAGACCAGCCCCAATCCTTCCGTTTGCTCCCCTCAACCTTCACCAAACTGCCTTAACAGTCGGGGAAGCCAGGATGAGCCTCCGTCCTTCCCTCTCTCTATTTCCATTTTTTCCTCCCTACTTTCTGAACCCCCCCCCAATACAAACTGACCCCTAAAGAAAGCCAGGAAGGGGGGCGGGGGGGAAAAAAGGTCTCCCCCTCTCACCCCCCCCCGTCACGGCGATGCCTGCAGCCGCCAGATTTGCACCCATCAAGATGTGCCCAAAGTGGAAAGTTCATCTTAAGTGGCCAGCCCTCATGGAGGTTTCCTCCCTGTGCCAAAAGGGCCGGCGGTCAGAAACACGGGGGGGGGGGGTGTTTCTTTGCCTCTCCTGGAGCGAAGCGACGTCGGCGGAGAATCTCGGCTTGTGCCTGTCTCAGTTTTTCACGAGGAGCCTGGATGTGTTTTGGGAGGGACGGGTGAAAACAAAACGGACTTTGGGCTCTTTTTTTTGTTTTCCTGCCTTATTCACCTTTGTTCTTTTTTTGGGGGGGGGGTGATTTTTCTGCCCCTTGGATGCTGCGAAATTCGGGGAGGCGAGTTTGGCGTTTCGGGCCGAGGGAGGAATTCCTGTTTTGCTCACACGCATTTGGGGTGAGAAGGGAAGACAAAACCCTGCCTTAATTTCCCTTCTTTGCCGACATCGATCGCTTTATACCGTACAAGCCATGTTATATCCCCCTCTTGGGGGGGGGGGTGGGGGGGTGGGTGGGGGGAATATCTAGCTTCGTTAGCTGCACCAAACCTAAATCGGGGTTCGGGCGAGGGAGTCCCTGTCCCCAAGATCACTCTTGCGCATGGTTTTTGTAGTTGCCAAGAGCAGAAGTGCTGGAGAAGCCCCTGCCTTAAATGGGGGGGAAGGGCTGGGTTGGGGAGGGGTCTGAAGAGCTGGATGGGAAGGTGGAGAACAGGTACACCTGTCTGTCCCTCCCTCTTGGGGGAGGGGGGGATTTTTCGACTAAATTCAAAAGGTCAACGACAGCTTTGGGTGTTAAAAGCCAGTTGGGGTTGGATTTCAATTTCTTTCTGCAAAATGTTATATTTTTTTCTTCTCCTCCCTGCGCCCTCAAGGGTCCCTTGGCTGGGTCTCCTGGGATGGGGGACCACCCACCCACTTCCTCCTCCTCCTCTTTCCCACCCTGACTTTTCAAAGGTACCACGAACTCCGGAGATCTTAATTCATGTTTAATTTATTAGCTAGGCTTTTCAATTCTACCCCAATGTGGGGGGGGGGGGGGAGGGGGGGCCCCAAAAGGGAATTAAGGGGTGGGGTTTCAAAAGGGAGGGGGGGGATTTGCGCTCAGCCGATCAGCTGAAATGGCAGTATTTTTGGGTGTGTGTGTGTGTGTTTGGGGAGGGCTTTAATTTGGGGTGGGGGGTGGGTGATACAAAAAGGACCATTCTCTTACCTTCAGACCAAAATACGTGTTTTTTTTTTTTTTGTAAAAAGAAAAAAGTTTAATTCTATTAAAACTTCAATTAAACTAATAAAACTTCTTTAAAAAAAAAATAATAATTCACTTCGCCGCTGATATTGTTATTCCCGGAGGACGTTGAAAAAAAAATGAGTGGGGGGGTTGTTATTTTATTTATTAATTACATTTATATGCCGCCCGTCTCAGGATCAAGTGACTGTTTTTCCATCCGGTTTCAAAGGGTTTTTTTTTCCGCCCTTCTCTTAAATAAATGTGGGGTTTTTTTGGCCTTCTAAGGCACCAGGGATCAACTAAACCCTTGTAAGTCGAGGGCTCACTTGCCCGTATGTGGCGAAGAGACAGAAAACTCGTCTTATTTTAATAAAGACTGGATATTCTTTATTGCCTTACAACATCCAACTGGGGGCGAGTGCCTGGGGGGGGGGGGAACACTCAACATGGAAACGTTCACACGCGTGGAGCCAAGACACGCAAACCACGGAAACTCACGGGGGGGGGGGAAGGACGAGGGTGGGGGGATGTCAGGGCGAGCCCCCCCCCTCTTTCACCGGAGGGCCGGAGTGACGGTGTCGTTTTGGGAAAAGGGAGGCCTCTTCCCCAGTGGGGGGGGAGGGGGGGGATAACACAACTTTTTACAACAAGCGGCCTCTGCATTCGATGGCACCGCAACAACACAAAAGTTTCTTGCCTTCGACGCTTCCTACTTCGTAGTTGTAATCCCAGGTGAGTTCCGTCCCGGCCCGGATTCTCCTGCGGAGGGAAGAAGACAAGGCAGGTTAAGCAACGGGCTTTTGAAAACGGGTTCTGGATCCTGCTAAGCCGGGGATTTTACAGGTACAGGTTGACAAGAGTTGGAAGGGACCTTGTAGGTCATCTAGTCCAACCCCCCCCGTCCTCCCAAGCAGGAGACCCCATTTCTAACAGAGGGCAGTCCAGTCTCTCTCCTTGAAAGCCTCAAAACGATGAAGCGCCCACAACTTCTGAAGGCAACTTTTGTTCCATGGGTGGGTTGTTCTCCCTGTCAAGAAAGTTTCTCCTTATTTCCAGGTTGAATCTCTCCTCGGTCAGTTTCCATCCACTCTTCCTTGTCCGGCCTTCAGGGGTTTTTACAAAATAGCTTGACCCCCCCTTCCTCCTCTCTGGGGCAGCCCCTCAAATATTGGAAGGCTGCTCTCCTATCTCCCCTGGCCCTTCGGTTCATTAAAATCAGATTAACGTCAGATTAACAGAGTTGAAAGGGATCTTGTAGGTCATCTAGTCCAACCCCCCCCAAACTCAGATATTGGAAGGCTGCTCTCCTGTCTCCCCTGGTCCTTCTCTTCCCTAGACTAGCCAGGCCCAGTTCCTGCAACCGTCCGTCGTATGTTTGAGCCTCCAGTGTCCCCTAAAATCATCCTGGTTGCTCTTCTCTGCACTTTTTCTAGAGTCTCAACATCTTTTTTTTTTTTTATAGCGCGGTGACCAAAACTGGATGCAGGACTTGTTCAAAGCCAGCACATTTCATGCCAGAATTGGATGCTTCGTTCTTTCTTCCTCCCGGCTCTGCCTTTTTCCCTTCTAAACTCAACCCTCCAAGCGGGCAGGGGAGTTGCGAACGCGGTGTGGAAATTGCGCGCAGAAATCTCTCGTAACGGATTTTTCTGAGAAGTGCTGATTTTTTAAAGAGTCTGGGGGAGATTCCCTTGAGAAACGTCCCTTTGGATGAGCCTCTTCCACCCCCTCTGGAAAGGAGGGGAACCCCAACTTTTCTTTGAGGGGGGGGGACGGGACTTACTTGCTGGCGAAGAAGGCCACCCAGGGAAAGCGGAGGTCATGCGTGTCCACGAAGACGTTCTGGACGAAGAGGTTGGGGCTGCAGCTATGCTGGGGAAGGGGAGATGAAGGCCCAGCTTCAAGGTCTTTGCTGGGAATCCCAAAGCTGCTTCTCCCCCCCCCCCGCCCCACAAGAGGCAACTGGATTTTCTGTTGTTTTTTTCCCTTGAAGACATTTCGCTTCTCATCCGAGAAGCTTCCTCAGGTTCTGACTCCACTATTCAGTCAGAACCTGAAGAAGCTTCTCGGATGAGAAGCGAAACGTCTTCAAAGAAAAAAACAAACAAACAAACCAGGAAGTGCAAAAAGCAATTTTGGGACAAGCAGGACCATGGATGACTCAGAATCCCCACAGGACAGGGGTCCCCAAACTTGGCAACTTTAAGACTTGTGGACTTCAGCAGGTTTGGAGACCTCTGCCATAGGTGCTTTGCTGGGAAGCAGAGGAAAAAGGCCCAGCCCCGGGTGAAGAGGGGACAGTCTCCCAGGGACGGACCAGGAGGGATGCAGGAAGGGGAAGGGAGCCAATCCAGGCCCATCCCAGGGAGGGGGAACCCCCCAGATCTCCCCCCCGGTGGGGGGGCTCTTACATTGAGGTAGCGTCCCAGGTTCCCCTCCAGCTTAGCGTCGATGATATAGCAGGACTCTTCCCCGTCGTAAAACTGCCGCGTGTTCCGACGCGTAGCTGCGTTCTCCCCCGAAGCCAGGTTGGTTGCCTTGATGGCGATGCCGTGCGTGGATTTCAAGGCGAAACCCCGGGTGGATTTCACGGCCACCTGCCTCTTCACCGCGCCTGCAAGAGAAGGGGGAGGCTCCGTGAAAAACGCTCCTGCCCGAGCAGAGTGGGGGTTGGGGTTGGGCTGGATGACCTCCAAATCCTTTCCAACTCTGTCATTCCACCTTCCAAACCAGAGGGGAACTCAGGATCCAGCAGTAGCCAATATAGAATATAGGCATTCCTTGAGAATTCATTTAGTGACTGTTGGAAGTTACAACGGCCCTGTGGGGGGGGGGGGGAGGGAAAAAGTGACTTAAGGGCCGGTTTTCACCCTTATGACCGTTTGCAGCATCCTCCTCATGGTCACACGAGCGAAACAGCTCGGGGACTGCCTTGTACGTAAGGCCGGCTGCAACGTCCCGGGGTTCACGGGATCAAAACTGGGACACTCGGCAAACGGTCTCACATTTATGACATTCCCCTTTTGCGACCTTCTGCCAAAGGAAGCCGACAGAGGACGTTCTGGATCCACTTCCCTGGCGTGGGGCTGACTCAACCGACGGTGAGGGTTCGCTGAACCGCCGCCACGTCGGCGAGAAAAAAGGGGTCGCAAAAACGGGCCGTCGAAAGCCCCTCCGCGAACACCCCGCCCTCGGCGGCGCCAACGTGGGGCCCGATTTGCGGCCGTTGCAAGGCGAGGACTTGGCCGTAGCGCCTCCTAGCCCCCCCCCAAGGGAACCTTCCCGATCCAGGAGCAGTCTATCTCGGGGCCGGCCTTCCCGCTCACCCATCCTGGCCGGGACGTTCTTCTTCTGGCTGCCGGCCATGTCTTCCTCCGACCCGGACGAGATGGTCTGGATGTCGTCGCTGTCGTTGGTGTGGTTGACCTGGACGGGGCCCGAAGCCGGCCGGACGTTGTCCCCGTCGCTGTCGGTGCTGCTTGAGAGCATCAGGACGTCCTGCTGCGGAGGAAGAGAGACTTCCCAGAGGGTGGGTTTCTCCTTCGCCCTCGGGGAGAGCGACCTTGTCCCGAGTTCGGTTCCAGACCCGCCTTTGAACCCTCCACCGAAAATCCCCCCCCACCCCCGCCGGCCCCCAATTTTCCTCCCCTTCCCACCCTGAAAACA